GGAAATAGCGAGAAGTCTGACGCGCGATACTACTTAAGAAGTCATCGTACGACGGTGTAATTTCTCCTGCGGGGTGACTCGGCGGATTCTTTTGACTCGGAAGAAACTGGTTTCTTCCGCGCCGTCGGAGCCACCGCCGTGGAATCGTAAGAAGAGAAATATCGAAAGGTGTTCTATCGAAAAATCAGCCACGATGCAGAAGGGGAGACATCGGCGCCGAGCGGGCAAGTCGATTCCCGCGCGACGGTATTTACTGCTCCGTAAGTCGCTTGTCGGTAGGAAGACGCCTCGAAAACCTTCAGGAAAACCTTGCTAATTAGACGTCCAAAGTAAAGCGCACGACGTAAGGCAGCAGCGAGAGCCGGGGAGAAGAGACACAGCGGAGACGTTCTCAATGTCGGAGACCCCATAGACGTGACTTTAATTCCAGGAAAAAGAGCGACGTCTTCGTAGCAAAATCCCTATCTCCACCATCGAGGAGGCTCCCCTGCCGTCGTCGTTCTCAATAGCACCCATAATGGCATTCATCTTTGCGTTTTATGTTTCAGAATTGTCGACGGCAGAATCGCCAACAATGGCTGCCATCGAATCGCGACCTCTCGTTCGCGTACGGTATTTTTCGAGAAACGTAAGCAGTTTTACGATAAGGAAGGAATAAATCCGAATAGTCCGATGCATACTCCTGCTCTATTATCGCGGGCGAATGTTTTCCGATCCGGCGTTGGAGCGCTGCACGAGAACGAATGCACTTTTAACGACGGCGTATCTGCATATCGGGCACACGGAGAACGGGGCAAATATATCGAACGTCTCCTACAAATAATTTACCCGTCGGACGGGACTTAATTATCCGCTTTTTCCCTTATTACTCTCGCCGTCCTCGCGCCGCGCGGATTTATAGCCGTGTCGATAAAGCCAACGGGTGTACATTAACATTACGCAATACTCGTAGCGTCTCTCTGGCCGGAAAACGGGCCACGATGAAAATAAAAGGGGGACACTCGGAGCATTTTCTACGCTCGAACGGTTGAGTAATGGCCAAGGGTGGGATCGCCGGGGTAAAAGAGTCGAGAGGCACGGGGAAGGAGAAGGTACAAATCGGCCGTGAAATCCAAGATTTAACCCCATCCCTCCTCCCACCCCGAGGCGACGAAACGAAGCCCCTTCCGTTCGTTGATATGATAAACACCGAAAATGACAGCGGCATCCCTCCATCCCCCGGTGTGTCTCTTCCTCCTTTTCCCCCCTCCCCACGCATCCTCTGGTTCTCGTCTTCCCCGAGCTCTTCGAGTTAATCACGTCAGGCAGGCAGACCCTCTGATTAAAACGGGCCTCCATCCCTTCTTATTATTATTGTTATTAGAGGAACTGAGTGCAGGGCACTCGGGGAATCGCGTCGGATAGACGGGACCGGCTCCTTTCTCTGTGTTCCTGTGCACCCAGACAGTTTAGCGGCGCACGCGTGTACGCACACCTTCTCCTAATCGTCAGAATTTTCGAGATTATTAAATGGCTGACGAGACTCGGGAATGAATCTTGTTTCGCTCGTTGCTTAATTAACTTTCCTCGCCGCGCTATTAATCGCCCGAGCAAATATATGTATATCGTTCCCTCCGAGTCGACGTCTAGCATCGAAGAGTCGAAACTTGGGTGGCCCGGCGATTCGCAATTTATCCCCGCGTTGATCGCGAAAATCCTCCCAACGTTGCTTCCCTTTGTTAGAAGAATATTAAATTATCGTTAATTTTTGTACACGTGCCTATCCGCCATCCTTTGGGCAAATTTAAATATTTCTTTGCTTCGAACAAAAGTGTTGTTTCGCGATCGTTTACTTCCCACGCGTTGGAACGATCGAAAATATTTTCGACTATTGCGAAATAACTGTACGTCTGCTGCTCGCGGCACGACAGCAAAGTGCAAATTGGCCCTCCGGTCAAATTGAGTTTGATATGTCTGCGATGGAGCCTCCCGTTGTTCACACGCTCCGCTGCTCGAACCTTTGTAATCCGAACGAGGCATACCTTTATAGAATATCGCGTACTAAATCACTTTCCTGCAACCGGGTACAACCAGTCCCGAATTTTAGGGGGCTCTGCGCCTTTTACGATCGATGTAAAACAATTTCTAGATTCGAGCGCAGTGATTCCGAGCGTTAAAACACAAATGCAATTTCAAGCAAAAGGGATAATGAGATAATTAATGGTAACGAATCACCGACGATTTGGCGATAATGTTTTGGAAAGTGCACGTCCCATCGATCGTAGAATCGTACGCGACAACGGTCGAACCGTAGGAATTTAGAACCGGTCGTAACGAGGCACCCTCGTAGCAAATTACAAATGGCATCGTCGTGCCCTGACGGAAGAGGACTACTGTCGTGTACGCCTCGAAACGAGTCCTTCTGAGCCATCGTAGCCGCCGGACGATCGGATTGCCGGCCGAAGGATGATCCGGTTTCACGGGGTAATCTATCCTCCGAGCGACCGATCATGCTAATAAAGCCGCCAGCTATAAGTAACGTGGAACGATCGTAAATCCTGCCGGGGCTGGTGAACAGGCGCGCGAGCGCAAGTGCAACGACAGTAGCGTAACCGCGAGACACAGACTCGCCAGGGACAGACAGAACCGTCTTAACTGATTTGACAAATACACGACAGCGAACCGAATAGATACGGAGAGAGCAACATTCGTTATTTCGTGCGTACACTCGTCGACTGACAGCGACGAGATATCTCCTGTCCCGTAATGAGCGACTTTGTTCGCAAAAACGACACGACGTTCCCTCCCTTTCGTCGATCGCGACTGCAATATTATCTCCTCGGTATCGAGTTTGCAGTATTTTTAATTTCTCCTACCAAAGGGAATTGTTTACCGCGATCAGATCGATATAACCATATTGAGATCGCTCCGAGTTCAAAGGATTCCTCGTCCGATTTATCGGTCACGCAACGATCGATGAAGACGTTAACGAACGCTTGGAATTTCTACCCTTTGAAACTAATGACCGATTCGAGATCCCATTGTCACGGGACGAAGATATAACGAGGCTCGAATGGAAAAATTGTGCGGCCGATTACGCCATTGTGCAGGTAGCACGCAGGTGTGCGGGTCGAATAATCGTCGCGGAGGAGGGAAACGCGTCGGGAACGTTACGTAAGGTCGCGTAGAGGCGGAGTCGTAGTCGGGACGAGAAAGAAAAGAAAGATAGCGGAATCTTCTGGGGCAGGGAAGAAAGAAAATAACGAGTTCGCGGGCCCCGAACGCGAACGCGCGTTACGAAACGACTCGTCGTACCTGCCCAGCGATGATTGCCGCCTCGCATGGGCTAATAGCGGGCCGCGAACATAACGAAGGGTTATGTGGATCACGAGTTTGTTATTGGCTCGCTTAATGACTCGTCCGCTCGTTCTACCTGTCTGCAGCGAAGTCTGCCGCGCGAATGCCAATCTGCCGTGAACGCCGATATAACACGGCTCGGCGAGCGTGGCGTATGGTGCGCGCCGTGATCCGAATATATCGCGTATAAAATGGAACGGGCAAGGCGGAATTTCAATAACTATCCGCGAACAACCGCGCCCGCGTCCACCGAGAACGTTGAAACGCGGGACGGCTCGTCGATGCGAAACGCCAACGTTCCGCCAAATTTTCCACCGAATATTCCATCGATTAATTTCTTTTTTACCCCGTTCGTCGTTCCGACCTTTCCGCGAAATTCCAGTCCCCGTCGATCGAGCTGGTTCCAGCTTTCCTTCTGTTCTTAAATTCGAGGTACGGATCTTTGACTTGCACGCATACTCATTTTGTCCAATCCCGAGGGTCCAAAAGGAGAGCGGAATACGGATAACTTTATCTAAATCCGAGGGAATTATGTTCAGGATGAAAACGGTGATAAGTCGTTGGGGTACCAGGCTTATGAATGATAAAACAGTAGTTTCGGATGGCTGTCCCCGAGGCTGATCGACCGCTGCGCAGTAATTACACCGAGCAAAGGAGCATTGTAAGAGCAAAGGATGGATAAACGTGTTACAAGGTGCACGCGAGCGATTAGACGTTCCGCGAGCGCACGTCTTAATCCTGGTACCCGCTCGGGTCCGACATACTAGTCTAGTCATGCGACTTTAATGAGAAGCTCGCCGCCCCGGCTCGGCCGACTCGGGGCGAGTTTTATTCGCGCAATATTCCAAACGCCTACTACTCGTTATTCTCGACTGCCTATCTACGCGAACGTTTTAACGCTTCGAGGGAGGGGGGCGTTAAAGGGACCGTTGCAGATGGAGAAACGGAGGTGCGAGATAGACCCGGGGTTCTGGGATTAATAAACGAAATCCTGGAGTGGATGTCCGAGAGGGAGCTACGGGGAACAGAAATTCAACAAAATTCCACGCGAAAGACGAGGGGAGGAAAGCAACGGAAATCACAACGCGAACGGAAACTGCTGGCCGGCGAACCGAAAACGCCGCTCGAAAATTCACGCTGGTATTGCAATTTAATTCCATCGGTAACCCGTTCGATAGTTTCCGTTCGTCAAGTTAACACAAAAACTTCACCGCGCGGGGAGCTTGCTTTCCGTTCGAATCAATTTGTTGCCCGGCTGAAATTACAGCCCCTCTCGGCCAGACTTTCAGCAGGGGGGGGTTGCAACTCATAATTGACGGAGGTTCCAATAATTCTCAACACTATTCATAATTTTATAGAGAGGAACAGAGAGGAATTTACCATTAATGCACGAAACATTCAGACCATACATAAAACCACGCATCGAAATATTATATTGGTCCTTTTTGTGAGTATTACGTGGCCTCGAAGTCTGACAACTTTTCGTTTGTTAACATCCTGTAGTCAAAGGGAAGAGGGAACTGTGAGTACGAGCGGGATATGGATGGCATCCGGAACGAGCGAGAGAATACGCGGCTTAATAGATATCGCGTCTGGAACGTGAGAACGTTACGTACGAGTCTCGTCTAACGTACCGTGTAATCACTGCATTTATATTCACTCACCATCGATATTAGACGAGGATTGATCCACGCCTGCTGCATGTTATCGTCGAGATATCGCTTCGCTATCCGGGCGATGTTTACGTGTGGCTCTTTCTTCTGAACGGGCGCCGCGGGCGGGGCATCGGCGTTGGCATTGTTTCTGAAACAAACGCGTAAACGCTAGCGTGAGCATCGAACGTTTCTGTGAACGCGTCCGTCCTGTAAACAGACCGTGGGCGTGATTGCAGCCGATGACAACGATCGGGATATTTGTCTTTCGAGATGCGAACCCCGGCTCTCCTTTCTCTCCGGTTTCAGCGAAGAACAAGGAAAGAACAAATGTAATTGCACTTTTAGCAATCCGTCTGCTTAGTCAAATTTGTCATAAAAAGATAGAAAGTTCATTCGTTTACACCTTTCCTATATTTTTAATAGTTTGAGAGATATTCCAGCAAGTACGTTTTACTACCCCTAATTCGAGAATGAATTTTGCCCCTTCGACACGGACTGCTCGGTAGGAAATTGCAAAGAGATAAAGACGGTAGTTTTCTTCGGCTCTCAGGGGTTAAATTCACCCAGTTTTTGGATCGTGGAGCATTTAGAAACTTGGACACACGGATGCAAGGGTCTGCAAGTCCCTGTGCGGTGTGAAACACATTTGGCGGTTTGCACCCTCAAGGGTATCGCTTTCCACACCGCTCGAGTATGCCTCGAGTACCTATGTACGTACCTTCCGCCAAGTATATAGAGACCCTTAAAGAGTGTAACGAGGGACACGGGAGCTAATTTCAAAGCAGCGTCGATTCAACGGGACAACGATCACTGTTCGAGTCGAGCGAACATCGGTGGATCGTTTCGTTTCGATTATTTATTTCGCGATTATGCACGCGTCAAGTAACAACGCAGTCACCTGCCCCGATAAAAGTGGAAAATTTATCGGTCGAGCCGCTATTAATTTTAATTAGTCGACGGGTCTGTAACTAGTATCGAGAACGGTCGGTGGCGCTTCCCACCGACAATGTATATTGTAATCGCATGACCGATGGTTCCGACTCGGTCATTTACAAATTCATGATAATAGATCGATGGACCGGAGCGTATTAACGAGATAAACGGGACACGCATTAACGAGAGAAACCGATCGATGGTACCGAATCTCGGTAGTGACAAACCGAGACCAACGGCATTCTCCGCTGTACCTTGGCAAACGCTATTATTTACTTGGATGAATTATTAACGCGAACGACGTTTGACGGAGAACGGCAATCCGCGCGCGGAACCGCCGCACCGTGGCCCACGAGGCCACGAAATTAACGGTCTCCTGCTCTCTGGCAATGCATCAAACCGAATCTATTGTGCGACCGCCGCACCATCACCACCGTCACCGACCATCGCCGTTCCCAGATTACACGTCGCGCGTACCACACGTTGAAACAGTTCGCAATTAGGCCACCGATAACAACACGTATCGCGACCCAGCCAGATCATTACGCTATGCAGTTATGGTTGGCAGTATCTTGATTGCTTTCGCGTAGACGCCGGACGATCGAGGCTGTCTTAACGCATTGTCGATCACGCCCGTTTAGATCGGACACGACAAATACGATTCGACCGTAGGAATCCAACGGGAGCCGTTTCGCCGTCATCTCTCACGCGTCTGTGATTTTATCGTAAGACATTAACTCGCGAAACGGTAAGCGGAGTTTTATGCGTTGATAAGTCGGTGATTTTTGCATAGCAAAGGAGGCCAAGACGGCTTTCAAAGATGGAATAATTCTGTGATGTAACAGTTGTGCTTAATATGCTTCCTCCCTACGAATTATCCTCGTCTTCAACTTGAGGCCCTAAAAATCCCGAACAGGATTCACGGGCCAAGTGTTCCCATCTTTAACAGCTATCCTAAGCAGTTAAACGTTTATATGGACACCGGACCATGAAACCGGCGTTAATTATAGCCGGATATTATGATCGTGGAACAAGAATCAACAGGCTGATCCGAGTTCGGCGCGATTGGATTACGCCTTACGATCCTGCCCTTTAAATTCTACACACCCCATAAACATTCGCGAAGATTTACCGTTTCCAAAGTTGAAAATCATTTCGGTAGATCGTAATGCTACTAATCGCGCTTGTATCCCGGACGATGGCCACATTCCTCCGCGCTTTATAGGCGCGCCTTGTATCAGAGCGGTAAACTCTTAATCTCGCTTTATTGTCGTTTATTATTTATCGCCCCGGCATTATTACGGCGATGCTTTTCCTTACATTTTTACAGCTTCCTTCCCGAAGGTTTCCGCGCGGAATTTTATACCAGCCGAAGTCATTACTCTGCTGCCTCCGCGGTGTATCAAACTTTCCATCCGTTGTCCGTCTCGGCGAATATTACGACGCATGATAGATCCGCGCGAGCACGTACAATGCCCGGTTATGAATAATCGTATACGCGCGTATACAAATGTTACGAAACGGGCATTCGCATTCAATAGAGAATTTCCCGGCGCGCGCTTAAGCGACGGGTGTATACGGCCCAGGATATCGCCTAAGTGAATTATGAGAGTTTATCGTGACTCCGTGGTCCCGTGTCCGCCACCGTCGAGGCACCAGCTGCCGCTTTAGGCCCTTGGTTAAATTACGCTCGAGATCCCCAGAAACCCACGAAATTATTGGCCCCTCCGCGGATCGACGTCGACACACCCTCGCTCTGTCCTCGACAATTCGCTACGAATTAACTCGACTTCCAAGAAACGTTTTCTACTTAAACGCGACCATCAGTGAGTCTTGGAGACACTTCCGTTTGCTAGAGGTCGGTTACCTCGATAATTGCAGCCCCAATTTCTTGTCATCGATCGAGACACTACTGTACCATAACGATAAAACGTTTCGAAGCAACGATTTATCCGCGAGGACCACCTCTCGACGGAATTTCGTTGTTCGTGTGGCTGGACGCGAAAAATGCCCCTCTTCCCGGGACAACCCGTCCCGACTTTCCGCGAGTAACGAAACAATTCGCAGTGCTTTTACCCGTACAATCCACGTTCGCTTCCCTTCTCGCGGGAAGGACGCAAACGACCTCAGCGACGCGCTTTGATCTCCAAGCAGCGACTACGTGTACAAATTCTTTCACCGTCGCACCGCGCCGCTCCGCAGTTCATACGTGCCCGACAGCACTCGCACTAATTACGTTCCGACGAGTGCGTACGCACGGTCGTTACGCAGACACATATCCCAGCCGTGGTACGCTTGGCGAAGACAACGCATCCGTGCTTCAGCTTTTCAACGCGCTCAAGCACCGGAGATCGGGCCCAAGGTGCCAGGCGATCGAAACAATTGATTCTCTTTCATTTTTATTTCGTAAAGACTTTTTAAGGGTAACTCGACAAAATAACGGAGATGGGAATATGAAACATAAATAATCGACAGTTTAAGATCAACCAAAGCTTACAGAACACCGAGAATCGGAAATACCCTTCCGATAGTGCAAGGAGAAAGAGTGGTCATCCGAGGACCGCGTTCGGGGGGATAATCTTTGGGGGCGTCTTTGGCGAGGTTCGCGAATTTCCGTGGCTAAATCTCGGGACAAACGACGCGTTTTGGTCCCCGTTGTTGACCGTGGTCGCAGGTGCGCGGCCGTATGGGGATCAGGCGCGACTTTCTCACGAAAATTCACGCGTCCGTGGATGAAAATTCACGGCAGACTTCGACCGCTTGTTGGCGCGATCGCCAGGTGTTGCGGGCTACACGCGGACACGTGTACGGAATCAACGGGTTCCCGTGCTCGGAGCTCGTTGCCAAGAAGCTACTCGAGATAATAAATCGTCCGCGTGCGAGCGGAAGACTCCGTTCCACGGTGGAATCGGGAGGAGCGCGAGCTTCGATAAAAGTCCGGCCACGGTTTATTTCGAGCGCCGGGGATGATGATAAAAAAGGGGGCACCCGGGCGGATTTCGGGGGCCCTGGACACAATTCATCCTGTCGGAGCCTGCCGGGCTCTTCTTTATCTTCTCGACGATAAACTCGATAGTTTAACGGGCTACTCTCGTTCGCTACCTGTCCTCGCAAAGTCGTTAAGGCGACTGCGGATAACAGGTCTACGGGGCCGCGATCAAAGATCCATCGACTCCGATCGATGCAGAAATTAAGGAATACTGGCCGCCTTGGGGCAGACTATTCGAATATTTTGTGCACCCAGTGTTTGAATAGCGTGACGTAGAGACAGTTCTAATATTGGGATAAGAATATTTTCAACGATCGATTGCTCGTAAAATTCGTCAGGTGTATTCGAGTAGTCTCGGCTCTATCGTGAACGTATAATCTCTACAAATGACGTAAATACGTAATTGACAGTTGAAAAGGCTACAACGAACACCTCAAAAGGCCACACGCCGCCTTCCAGTTCTCTCGAGGTGGATGCGTACTAATGACTAGCATTCCATCGACGCCCTACGCTGCAGTAAGACGTTGGATAGAAAGGCCCTCGTTTGTGCTCTAATGCGCTGAGAAAGTGGAGAGAAAAGAAAGACGTAGGCGTCGTGTTCCACCCAACGCTGATGGAAAGAAAAGTCTATCGTGTTCTTCATTTGAAAAGAATTCCCCGTAGTATGTGGAACTGGATTCTACACATGAGAACAATAAAACAAAGTCACGAAAAGTGACGTTCGTAAGCCTAAGTTTGCCCGACCACGCGAACGCGACGGGAATTAAAGAACGACGATCGTTTAGCCCGACAAGCGATCGAAGCGTTCCGTTCACGGTCCCGCGAGCCATTTTGCACTCTCGAACCGTGGTCCGGCCGAATCGGTACGATAGATCGAAACCGAACGAGCAGCCGAGCGTTAATATCGGCAAGTTTCTCGGTGCGATCGGTATGCGACGCTCGTTTTCGCAGCTCCTCGCGGCGCGTTGCGTTCGACAGGAGCAAAAGGAGCGCCGTCGACAGTCCCGGTCGGCCTCGCGAGCGATAAAACGACGATCGCGTTACGACGTCCGCGTCGCGAGACGTAAATCCGTGTATTTAGTGGGATTAAAAATCGATCGCGGCGACTTTCAAGACGTCTCGTCGGGGCCGTTACCCGGCAAGGTGTCCGCGACACTTTGGTACGTAACGTACGATCGACGGATCGGTTAATGGTCCCGCGAGCGGACGTTAAAGCCGAGAGAAGT